CTTTTGGCCGACCCTGCCGACAGCTCAGTTGCATTTGTGAACTTCATGGCTGCCAGATATTTGAGTGCCAATATGTCCCTCGAGAATTATGCCGGCGAGCTGTTCGAGGAGAAATTCACTGGCCACCGTGAAATCGACCTGGCAGACTGGCTGGGCACGCCCATCGCGGGGCAACCTGCCGATATTGAATTTGTCGAGAACTTCCACATGCCCGCCGAAGGAGATGACGAACTGGCGGTGACACCTGCGGATCCAGAAGTCACTATTCCTGCGGCAGAGGAGGAAATACAATGGATGCTTTATCCTCGGGTTATTGGCAATCCGTCAGACATGGACTTGAGTGGTGATGACCCTTCGCGGGGAAACCCGCGAGATGCTGGTGATCTGTCTGGGCCCATCCAGTGCGAGCTCGGCCGCGACGAAGGATTTCAATGTGCATTCGTAGCTTCGGGCCGCTCCTTGAGCCGCCAGGGGCGATCGGCAAGCCGCCAGGCCTGGAGACGTTAGTATCGCGCTGGCGGCGATGACGAAGAATGGGAAGATGACGCGCGTCTGGTGCGTCGCGGTCGGGTCCGCAGTGGCTCGCCAAAGCGCGCGCGCGCGCGCGCTCTCCAGTGGCGCTCGCTCTAGCGGCCTTCAGCGCCCTCATCCTCCTGATAAGAGGGCCCCAAGGACCCCTCCAATGAAGTGCAATGGACCTGGCGCCCCACCGAGGAGGGGGCGCTTGCGGGGGTACCCGCGTCAAGGGGAAGAACCACGCGAAGAATATCCACAGGGCGGACTACAGCGCCTTGTTGACCGCTCGGATGCTGGATTGGCTCGTCAGTGCGTGGGCCCAGCTACGACGCGACACTGGTTGAACAAGGGTTGCGCTGAGCACTGGGTCCGTCCCTGGTATTCTCCGCGCGAGGTTGATCGCCATGGCGAAGGCAAAGGGATCCGCTCAAAAAGGAGGGGGGCTGTCCGAACACAAGAAGCTTTTATAAAGTGTGACTTTGAGGGCCATCATCGAGGAACGGACATTTTACCGAGGTATTGTTTGCACTTGCTGCGAGTTTGCCGACCGCAGGCTCGGCCGCCCCATGGGGCGCCCATCGAGGGGCCCCATCTTCCGCGAGACACCGTGGGTCTGGTTTCACGGTAATGGTCGGGGGCGCTGCGCCGATCCGAATACAACGCCATGCGACGAGCAGTTGGCGGAAGACGACTGCGAACAAGCAACGGCCCAATTAGCCTGGCGAAGGACCCAGCCATATGCCGTTGTGAATACCGTCGTTGTGAGTATCGCACTCGGTGGTGCTTTCTATGGGCCGAGAAACGCTGTCCTGGGTGGGGGAGACGCATGCGAACTGTGCCACTGGGACTTCGGTGGGGCTCCCTATGGGGCCACGAAGCGCTGTCCTGGGTGAGAGGGACGCATGCGCCCCCCCCCACTGGGGCCTTCGGTGGAGCTCCCTGTGGGGCCACGAAACGCTGTCTTGGGCGTGGGGGGCCCGTGCGCCCCCCTTCCCTTCGGGGCCTTCGGTGGAGCTCCCTATGGGGCCACGAAGCGCTGTCCTGGGCGTGGGGGGCGCATGCGGCCCCCCCATCGGGGCCTTCGGTGGGGCTCCCTTTGGGGCCACGAAGCGCTGTCCTGGGCGTGGGGGGCGCATGCAACGTGCGCCACTGGGACCTTCGGTGGAGCTCCATTTTGGGCCACGAAGCGTTGCCCTGGGTGGGAGGGACGCATGCAACCTGCGCCACTGGGACATTCGGTGGAGTTTTTTATGGGGCAACGAAACGGTGTCCTGGGTTAGGGGGGCGCATGCGACCTGCGCCACTGGGGCCTTCGGTGGAGCTCCCGATGGGGCCACGAAGCGCTGTCCTGGATGGGGGGGGGGGGGGGGGGAGGGCGCATGAACCTGCGCCATTGGGATCTTCGGTGGAGCTCCCTATGGGGCCACGAAGCGCTGTCCTGGGTGGGTGGGTGGGTGAGGGTGGTGTGTGTGTGTGTGTGTGTGTGTGTGTGTGTGTGTGTGTGTGTGTGTGTGTGTGTGTGTGTGTGTGTGTGTGTGTGTGTGTGTGTGTGTGTGTGTGTGTGGTGTGTGTGTGTGTGTGTGTGTGTGTGTGTGTGTGTGTGTGTGTGTGTGTGTGTGTGTGTGGGGGGGGGTGGGTGGGTGGGTGGGTGGGGTGGGGGGGGGGGGGGGGGGGGGGGGGGCGTGCAACCCTCGCCGCGGTTGAGCTCCCTATGGGGCCTCACAGGGAACCCCACCTAAGCTTCAGTTCGGCACACCCCTCTCGAGGATCGTGGCCCTGGCACCACAGGGAGGTCCACCGACGATTTATTTCGGCGCACCCCTGTCGAGGATTGTGGCCCTGGCCCCGCAAGGAGCTCCTCCCACGCTTCATATTGGCACACCCCTCTCAATGGTCGCGGCCCTGGCATGGGGCCCCGTATATCACCGAGCGCTTTCCACTATTCGCAAAGTGCCTACTCGCAAACGTCAGAGAACACATGTCTGCTTTGATCTACTTTCTTGTATATCCCCCGCGGGGGATCCAGGCCATTTGTGAGTAGTTACTTTGCGAGTAGTGGAACGCGCTCGTCTGCTATAGGAGCCCTATCGGATCCTATAGGGCCGTCTGGGATTCCGATACAATCCCCATCGGGTTTCTATAGGATCCTATATGATCGCATTGGATCCCAAGACAATCCCTATACGATCCCTGGATCCTACAGTGGTGCATGAGTTTCTTTATATAATCCCCATCGGGTCTAATAGGATCCCTATCGGATTCCAGAGGATTGCTTCGGATCTCTATAGGAGCACTATAGGATCCTACCGGATCGCATGGGATTCCTATACAATCCCTCTAGGATTCCTCTAGGATCCGATCGGATCGCACGGGGTTCCTTCTCCACAGGATCCAGTTGGATCCCTATAGGATCCTATCGGATCGTATAGGATCCCTGTAGGATTCCCGTAGGATCCTATAGGATCGCATGGGGTTCCTATACAATCCTTATCGGGTCGCATGGGATTCCCAGACAAGCCCTATAGGCTTCCTGTGTATCCCCATAAGATGGCATGGGGCTCCAAAACACTCCCTATACGATTCCTATACGGTCCGATAGGATCGCATGGGAATTGTATATAATCCCTAGTAGGATTCCTATGGGATCCTACAGGGTCGCATGGGATTCCTATAGAATCCCCACACGATCCAATTGGATCCGTATAGGGACCTATAGGACCGCATATGATCCCCGTAGGAGCCCTATATGATCGCATGGGGTTCCTTTACAATCCCCATCGGATTCTTATAGCATCCTTTAGGATCGCATGGGATTCCGATACAATCTCTCTGCGATTACAATAGGACTTATAGGACCGCATGGGACTCCTATACAATCCTCATACGATCCCTATACGATCCGACAGGGTCGCATGATATTCCCATACAATCCCCGTACGATTCCTATAGGATCCAATGGGATCGCATTGGATCCCTATAGAATCCTGATAGAAGCCCGAAAGGATTCCTATAGGATTCTGGAGGATCGCCTAGGATCCCTCTGATGATCTCCATCGGATCCCTATAGGTTCCCGATGGGATCCTATTGGATTTTATAGGACCATATAGGAGCCGATAGATTCTGGAGCTTCGCTGGTGCAGACTTGGAAGCATTGCATGAACGAGGAGCTCACACCCGCGAGCGAAGTTACAGCTGAGCGAGGAATGGAGCCCGAGGTTGTTGGTTGCTTATTGCTGGGGGTGGGGGTTGCTTACCCCCGGGAAGGAAGGTCACGGGTTGTCCTTTCAGGACAAGCATTGACTTTTCCCGGTGATCGGGCAACAGGGTCACGTGTCAACCTTCTTGTTGTCGTTGATGTTGGTGTTGTGGTTGTTGTTATTGTTGTTGCTGCTGTTGTGGTTGATGCTGCCTGCTGTTGTTGTTGATGATGCTGACTCTGACGACGACAATTATGATGATGCTGATGATGATGATGCTGATGCTGCTGCTGCTGCTGATGATGATGATGCTGATGATGATGATGATGATGATGATGATGATGATGATGATGATGATGGTGATGGTGATGGTGATGGTGATGGTGATGATGATGCCGATGATCTGATGACGATGGTGGTGGTGGTGGTGGTGCTGTTGCTGATGCTGAACTTGATGATACCGATTATGGTCCGATGCCAAGTGAGGACGGTCGCCTTTGTTTCAGCCTGCGTAGCGCTCGCACGTGCTTGTCATCAGCCAGCGCCACCAGTGGGACCACGCGCAGAACACACCTCTGAGGTCTCCAGGCCCGTCCTGGAAGAGGAAGAATAAGGGAAGGAATTGCTGACCGCCTGTTCGTCAGCTGTTGTCCTCGTCGTCGCTGTCTCTCATCGTAACCGCCGCCGTCGTCATCGTCGTGGTGCCCGTCGCCCATTCGGGTTCGCACTGCCGCCCAGACGCTCGCGGCCAGACGCTCACAGCGGGACCTGCCAGCACATGAGAGGCACATATTGGGATCTCCGCGTCGAGCAATTGATGGCCTGGGGGCGCCCGACAACGGGCCCCAGAGGCAGAAGTCGAAGAATAACGCCGCGATGGAAAATATCAGACCGTCAGAACTCTGAGGATGAGGATGGAGGGGATGAGGGTGGACGGACGGAGGGATGGATGGCGGGAGGGAGGCAGGGAGGGAGGGAGGGAGGGAGGGGGGAGGGAGGAAGAAGACGAAAGGAGGAGGAGGAGGAGGAGGAGGAGGAGAGAGGAGGAGGAGGAGGAGGAGGAGGGAGGAGGAGGAGGAGGAGGAGGAGGAGGAGGAGGAGGAGAGGAGGAGGAGAGAGGAGAGGAGGAGGAGGAGGAGGAGGACCAAGGGACGCGAGCGGCCGGCCGGCCGGCCGGCTGGCCCGCCCGTAGGCCCCTTTCTCGTAATCATTTTGGCCTCGCGATTCTCGCCGATACGAGGCCGCCTCTGCACTGCTTCTCGCTGGGGTCGCCGCGCCAGCGGGCGATGGCGGCGGCAGGTGCCGCGCAGTCCAGGCCGCCTTGAGCGGGATATAAGGCTGACATCTGTGCATATTCATTTGTTATAGGCGGCCGGGCTGAGATGGCATGGCAGACGGTGCAAGGACGCCGAAGGCGCGGCGGCAAAGGTGGCTCCGGACAGGACTCCTTGGCGTTGGAGCTGCTGGAGTCGCTCTTCCGCCATCGTGGTCGCGGCGGCGGCGGCGCCGGCGGCGGCGGCGGCGGACCGCGGGACTCCGGCGCCACAGCGCGGGGCCCGCAATGGCACTGCCGGGGCTGCAACGGCCTACCCAACGACGCCTCCCGCGCCTCCTGCCGGCGGTGCGGCGCAGCACGCCCGGCAGGCGTGCGGCCGAGTGGCCCGGAAGGCCGCTCCGCCCCAGGCGCCCCAGACGCGGCTGGGAGAGCGGCTCGCAGGCCCCAGGCGGGCGCGAGCACGCGGGAGCAGGGCGTCGCGGCCGTGCCGCCCCGCGAATGGCCGGCGCGGCCGCCGGCGCCCGAGGAGCGCGCGGCAGCAGCCGCTGGGAAAACCGCGGCGCTGGGCGAGGCCGACGAGGTCCTGCGCGCTGCTGGCCTCGAAGCAGAGGCGGACGCGCTCCGGGGGCCGGCCAAGCGCCTGGCCAAGGAGGCTGCGGCGGCGGACGCCAAGCCGGGAGCCCGCCTGGACTCCTGCATGGCGTTCGTCTCCCGAGCGGAGCGCCGCCTTGCAGCGGCGCGCGCGGACGCGGAGGCTGCGGAAGCGGCCTTGGCGGCCGCTCAGGCGCGTGTTGCGGAGCTGGACGAGGAGCTCCAGGAGGGCCAGAGGCGCCTGGGGGAGCTCCGGGCGGGCACTCCCGCAAACGGGCTCTCGCCAGATGTCCTGGCGGATGTGCGCACCGTGCTGGATGCCGTGGAGCGGCTGCCGATGGCCGGCCACGCCGGCAGTGGCCCCAGGCTACCAGCGGCGGCCCTGGAGGCCTGCGCAGCGCTGCGGCGGCGCTGCGGCGCGCTCCCAGACGGCCGCGGCCCACAGGAACGCCTCGACGGCCCGCTGGAGCCGCCGCCGGACGGCCCAGCGCAGGCGCCCCCTGGTCCTGGCGCCTGGGCCGCGGCGCTGGAGGAGGAGCAGGAGGAGGGGATGAACTTGAGCGAGGAGGAGGAGTTGATGGAGGAGTTGGACGGGGCCCAGGACGACGCCAAGGCCCTCGATGTTGCCAGGCGCCTGCAGCGGCCCCGGAAGCTCGGCCTCTTGGGCGGGGTCTGCAAGGACAAGGGCCGGCGGAGGTGAAGATCCCTCCCTTCCTCCGCCTCGGACCCCTGCTCCGACCCGCAGGTCGCGGTCGGCTGCCGGGACGCGGTCGGCTGCCTTCGCGCCGCCTGCGGCCGCGGCGGCCCTCCTGGAGCCCGGCTCCGAGGGCGCCGGCTGGAGAAAAACCGGCGTCAGGGCGAGGCGTGCTGCCGTCGCGCCGCCTGCTGCCGCTGCGGCCCTCCTGGAGCCCGGCTCCGAGGGCGCCGGCCGAAAAAAAACTGGCGTCAGGACGAGGGCGGCAGCCCTCACGCCGCCTGCTGCCGCTGCGGCCCTCCTGGAACCCGGCTCCGAGGGCGCCGGCCAGAGAAAAACTGGCGTCAAGACGAGGCGTGCTGCCGTCGCGCCGCCTGCTGCCGCTGCGGCCCTCCTGGAGCCCGGCTCCGAGGGCGCCGGCCGAAAAAAAAAAACTGGCGTCAGGGCGAGGCTGGCTGCCCCCACGCCGCCTGCTGCCGCTGCGGCCCTCCAGCGGGTCGGCTCCGAGGGCGCCGGCCGAAGAAAAACTGGCGTCAGAGGCGTGCTGCCGTCGCGCCGCCTGCTGCCGCTGCGGCCCTCCTGGAGCCCGGCTCCGAGGGCGCCGGCCGAGGAAAAACAGACGCCATGTGGAGGTCGGCTACACTCGCGCCGCCTGCTACCGCTGCGGCCCTCCTGGGGCCCGGCTCCGAGGGCGCCGGCCGAAGAAAAATTGGCGTCAAGACGAGGCTGGCTGCCCCCACGCCGCCTGCTGCCGCTGCGGCCCTCCTGGAGCCCGGCTCCGAGGGCGCCGGCCGAAGAAAAACTGGCGTCAGGACGAGGCGTGCTGCCCTCGCGCCGCGTGCTGCCGCTGCGGCCCTCCTGGGGCCTGGCTCCGAGGGCGCGCGAAACGGTCCTGGGCGGCGCTGGGAGGCGCGGCTTGCCAGCGGCGCGGGCGCTGGGAGGCGTGGGTTGTTGCCGCGCAGGCGCTGGGAGGCGCGGATTGCTGCCCGCGGAGGCGCTGGGGGGCGCAGATTGCCAGCAGCGGCGCTGGTAGGCGCGGATTGCGGCCCGCGGAGGCGCTGGGGGGCGCAGATTGCTGGCAGCAGGGGCGCTGGGAGGCGCAGATTGCCGGCAGCAGGGCGCCGGGTGACCTGGCAATGCGGCTGGGCAGGGGTCCGCGTCGGGGAGGCGCGCCGCCCGGGCCCTACGTGCCCTGCGTGCCGGACAGACACGGAACCCCACCGCGCCGAGCAAGGGGAGCGGTGCGCGGTGTGCGACGGAGCCGGAGCCGGCGGCTGGCTGCACTACTGCCCCGGCTGCGACTCCTTCTTCTGCCGGCGCTGCGCGCTGGGCGCTCCTCCGCCGCCCGCGCCGGCCCCCCCAGAGGCCGCGGCGGCGAGCGCTCTTGCGCGCGCGCCTGCTGCTGGCCCAGCCCCTGGAGGCCCGGTGGCGCAGCCCCCGCCGGAAGACGCGCTAGCGGCAGGCGCGGCCCCTGCTGCTTTCGCCCTCCAGGACCTCGCGGCCGGCTGCTGGGCGGGGCTCGAGGACTGCGACCTCTTGGAGGAGTTCGCGCTGGACTGCCCCGCGCTGCGGGTCGTCCCCGGGCGGGCCCGGGCAGCGGCCGCGCAGGCGACCGATGAGCTCTGCAACGCGCTCCTCCGGGCTTCGGCTGGGGGCGTGGAGGCGGAACGAGCCTGGAAACTCCTCGCACTGCGGGAGCGCCTGCTCTTCGCCGCCCCCCTCCGGCTCGGGGCGAACAGCCGGCGGCGCCGCGCAGAAGCAGAGACTTTGGACCGCGCGCAGCTCGTGCGCGAGCGCTGCTCCTCGCTGCTCCGGGGCGGCTGGGAAGAGCTCCTGGCGACGGCCAGAGGCGCGGCCCGAGCTCTGGCCAAGGCGCGCCGGCGGGCGGGCGGCGCCGCCCGGGACGAGCGCTCCCTAGCAGACGAGGTGGTGCGGAAAGCCATGGCCGAGGAGTACGGCCGAGCTGCCGCCCTGCTCTCCAGCCCAGGCCTCGCCCCGCTCACCGCCGAAACAGCGGACCAGCTCCAGGTGCTCCTCCAGCCGCGCCCCGCCGCCGCACTGCCACCTGCGGCGGCGCCGCCTGCCGGGCCACCGCCGCTTTCCTACGGGGCCCTGAGGAAGGCGCTGAAGAGGAGCCCCCGGGGCAGCGGGGCCGCCGCTGGCGGCGGGCGCTTCGAGCACTGGCGGGTCGTGCTCGCCGAGCCCACCGCGCTGGCCGCCTTCTGCAGAGTCTGCGACAGGATCGCAGAGGGACGGGTGCCCGAGAGCACCGCGGCGGCACTGGCACTCGCAAAGCTCACGCCGCTGCGCAAGCCAGGCGGCGGGGTTCGGCCCATCGCCGCGCCGAACATTTTGCGGCGGCTGGTGGGCCGGGCGCTGGTGACGCCCCGCAAGCACGAGCTGGCTGAGGCGCTGGGGAGGCAACAGTTCGCCGTGGGCACGGCTGCGGGCACAGAGCTCTTGGCGCACACGGCGCGGGCGCTGGCGGAAGCAGACCCCAGCTTGGTGGTGATCGCGCTCGACGCCAAGAACGCGTACTGCTCCGCCAACAGGGAGGCCTGCCTGCGGGAGCTGGAGGCGGCAGCACCGGAGCTGCTGCCCTACGCAAACCTCTTCTGCCGCCGAGAGTCCCAGTACTACTTCTGGGACGCGGCGGGCGTCTGCCACCGCTTGCGCGCAACTGGCGGGGTGGACCAGGGAGGCCCGCTGGCGCCGCTGCTCTTTGCCTGCGGGACGCGGCCCCGCCTGCGCGCCCTGGAGCAAGCCCTGCGAGCGGCCGCGGAGCGGAGGGGGCTGGACCCCGGCGCCGTGCGCGTCCTCGCCTACTTGGACGACGTCGTCGTGCTGGCGCCGGCGGCGCTCGCGGGCGACGTGCAGGCGGCGGCGCAGACGGCTCTGGCTGACTTCGGCTTGGCGCTGGAGCCGCGAAAAACACAGGCCTGGTCCGCGGGCGCGGCCTGCCCTCCTGGCATGGAGGACCAATGGCGCGCGGAGGGCCTGACCCTTGTGGGCGTGCCGCTCGGGGCCCCTCTGCCCGCGGGGGGCTTGCCCGACGAGAGCGACGGGCGCCGCGTCGACCTGGGCTCGGCGGACTACGCGAAGGCGCGCTGCGCGGAGACGGCGGGGCGGGCGGCGGAGCTCCTCGCCAAGCTCGCGGCCCTCCCGACTACGGCCTCGCCGCACTTGCCGGCGGCGCAAACCGCGGGCCTCCTACTGCGGCACTGCGGGGCCAGCAAACTGACACACTTGCTGCGCACGAACCCACCGGCTGCTTCGGAGGCCGCGGCCGCGGCCTACGACGAGGCCCTGCTTGCGGCCTACGAGGAGCACGCGGAGCTCGACCCGCTGACGGCGCCACAGCGGGCGCAGTGCCAGCTGCCCCTGCGGACCGGCGGGCGCGGCCTTCGCAGCCAACAGCAGCTGGCGCCGGCAGCTTGGGCCGCTTCCTGGGCACAGAGCCTGAGCGGGGTTCGGGAGCGCACCGGCCTCGCCTGCCTGGCTGACCTGGAGACCAGCGGGCTCCCGCTCGCGGGCGCTTGCCGCGACGCGCTGGCCGGGCTCGCGCAGCTGGCGCCGCCGCCGCCTCGCCCCGGCGCGGAGCCGGCCGAGCTGCCCACCTGGCAAGAGCTGGCCGCGACGCCTGCCCGAAGGCTTCAGAAAACCCTCACCGCAAGGATTGACCACAAAAATCAGACTTCCTTGCTGAGGGCGCTGGAGCTGGAGGAAAGGGCGCTCCTGCGCTCTTGCGGCGGGCCTCACGCCTCCGGGTGGCAGACAGCCTCGCCCGGGCAGCCCCCCGAGCGACTGGACGACGCGGACTACAGGGCCACCGCCCGCGCCCTCCTCGGGCAGGACGCGGCGCCGCCTGGGGCGACCTGCTGCAACCGCACCAGAACGGGCGAGCGGGCAGGCCAGCGCTGCGGCGAGGCGCTCTGCAGGAAGGCCCGCCACGCTTGGCGCTGCTCCCGGGGCGGGGGCCTGAAGGCGCGCAGCAGCGACCTGGAGCGAGCTTGGCAGCGCATCCACGCGGAGTGCGGCCACCTCGCCTCCCGCCAGGTCCACGTCCCGGCCTGGGACCGCTGGGCTTGGCGCTGCGCCGGGTGCGACGCCCGCGGGGCCGCGGCGGCGCGACCAGGCGACACCTGCAGCTGCGGCCACGCCCTGGCTGCCGAGCGCGAGGAGGCCATCCTCGACCTCGAGGTGCAGCGGCCCGGGCAGCCGCGCACCTTCTTCGACGTCACGGTCCGGTACAGCGTGCCGGCCGACGTCGACGCCCTGCGGGCCGCCGCTGGCCGCGACGGCTCCGTGAACGCCGCCGCGGAGGCGGACAAGCACCGCCGCTACCCGGCGAGGCAGGCGCCCTGGCGGATGGTGCCCCTGGCACAGGAGACCGCCGGCCGGCACGGCCAGGCGGCCCTCAAGCACCTCCGCGGCCTCGCCCGGGAGCAGGCGGCGCTGCTGGCGGCGGGCGACGAGGCCGAGGCGGAGGTCCTGGCCGGACAGCTGGTGGCCCGGTGGGGGCGGGAGCTCAGCGTAGCTCTCCACCGGGCCACAGCCCGACAGCTGCGCTCCGCCCTGGGCGCGGACGGCGCCGGGCGGGCAGCTGAACTGCGGGCCGCCGCGGCGGCCTAGCCGAGCGGCTGCTGGTGCTCGCGTTGCTCTACCAGGTCGTTCGGCGCTCGGCCGCGGCGCTTCAGGAGGAGGAGGCGGCGCTTGCAGGAGGAGGAGGAGGAGGAGGAGGAGGAGGAGGAGGAGGAGGGGAGGAGAGGGAGGAGGAGGAGGAGGAGGAGGAGAGAGGAGGAGGAGGGGAGGAGGAGAGGAGAGAGGAGGAGGAGGAGGAGGAGGAGGAGGGAGGAGGAGGAGGAGGAGAAGAAGAAGAAGAAGGGAGGAGAGGAGGAGGAGGAGGAGGAGGAGGAGGAAAAGGAGGAGGAGGAGGAGGAGGAGGAGGAGGAGGAGGAGGGGGAGGAGGAGGGGAGGAGGGGGAGGGGGAGGGGGAAGTGGGAGGAGGAGAGGAGGAGGAGAGGAGGAGGAGGAGGAGGAGGAGGGAGGAGGAGGAGAGGAGAGAGGAGAGGAGAAGGAAGAAGGGAGGAGGAGGAGGAGGAGAGGAGGAGGAGGAGGATAGGAGGAGGAGGAGGAGGAGGAGGAGGAGGAGGAGGAGGAGGAGGGAGGAGGAGGAGGGGGAGGGGGAGGGAGGAGGAGGGGGAGGGAGGGAAGTGGGAGAGGAAGAGGAGGAGGAGGAGGAGGACGAGGAGGAGGAGGAGGAGGAGGAGGAGGAGGAGGAGGAGGAGCCCCCCGTGCCCGGGCCCCCTCGCGGCCGGCCGGCACGGAGAGGCCCTCGGCCCGAGCGAGGGTCTCGGCGGGAGCGCAGCGCGAGGAGTGCGAGCAGCGCGGGGGGCCCAAGGGGGCGAGGGAGCCAGGGACCAAGGGGTCGAGGGGAGTCAAGGGGGTCGAGGGGTCGAGGGGTCGAAGGGGACCGAGGGGTCGAGGGGTCGAGGGAGAGGGGCCCGGGGGGAGATCCAGGGGGAGCAAGGGACCAGGGGGCCAGGGGCTCGAGGGAGATCGAGGGGCCAAGGGATCGAGGGGTCGAGGGGGATCCGAGGAGAGGGAGAGGGATCCAGGGGGGGGGCGCCAGGGGAGTCGAGGGGAGGCGTGAGGCGTGGAGCGCGAGGGCACGGCTCTAGAGGCCGGCCTGCCGAAGGGGGGCGGGGCAGCGTGCGCCACGCTGCCGCGGGGGGCAGAGCCGGTCGATGAGCCGCGCAAGAGACTTCTCTGCCCCGCTCGCCCACGAGGCGAGAGAGGGCGGGAGGGGGGAGCGGGGGAACGAGGGGGAACGAGGGGAGGTCCGGAGGGAGAGGGCGGGAGAGGGCGGGAAAAGGGGAGAGGGGGATCGAGGGGAGATCCGGGGGGAGAGAGGGCGGGGGAGGGCGGGAGAGGGCGGGAGGGGGCGGGGGATCACGGGATCAAGGGGATCAAGTCGTGTCGGAGCGGCGCGCGAGGGGCAGGGCCCAGGGGGGGCCACTCGGTCGTCGGCAC